GGTTGAACCATTTTCGCTCGCGTATTGGTTTAAAAGGATTGAGATGACTTAGATTGTCGTTCCCACAGACGGCGCCAAATGTTTATGCAAGGATATGCACAGCAGTGGTGGTGATCTTGGCCTTCCGAGCTGGGCATGACTCATGAGTCATCTCGGAGCACCAATAGGGGTCCTCCACGTGTCCAGGGTATTCTCTTCCCCAAACACTTACATTAATCAATTTGAATAAAATATAGAAAAACTCAAAGAAAAAAAAAACATTGGTTTCTGTGACGGATGGTGGCCAGGTGTCAGGTGTTGGGGATCTCCTTGTTGGATGTTGATAGTGTTGTTGTGGCTGACAAAGTGAAGGTCAATGGCTTCATCATTTAGGACAAAGATACCTCGATTAATTCAACATCATTGAATGTGCTTGAGGATGTCGTGACTTTAAAGAAGATGTTTAGTGGGCTAATATTTGTCATATTCCTAGTTCTTTGAACAGTCAAGTTGTTTTGTTGGTCAAATGTGACATTTCTAATTGTTTCTCTATCCATTGGGACAATTGTTTTCCTTGGTAAATTGTGACGGTGATGCGTGGTCACCACTCTTGTGAGTGATGTAATCCTTAGTGAGTTTGTTTCTTTCCAATGCAATGCTTATTTGTTTACTAAAACAACTTTATTTGAACCTTCAATTTTAGGTCTCATTTAGTTCAAAAGAATAATAATGAAAATTTTCATTTTATGACATTTATTAAATTATAAAAATAAAATTAATTCGTGGACATACCTCAAACTTAGAAATCACTTTGAATCTCATCTACAGCCTTGTGAATCTTATTTTCATTTCTTATTTTATGGACCAGATCCATAATTTTTGTTTATACATGCAACTAATAACTTTTTTTTTAATAACAAATTATACCATATTTGTTAGTTGATGGGATTTTACCATAAAATATTACAAATATATATTTAATTTATCAATGATTTTAATTATACTTTGTTATTATTAATTAATATCAATCAAATTGATAAAATATAATTCATCATTATTAAAGATTATAAAAATAAATTTTAATAATATTTTATATTAGGTTGTTTTATTAAAAATTATATTAATCTTTTTTATGTGATGTAATTTTATTTTAAATATTCATTATTTGTTAATTTTAAATAATTTGTTATAATAAAAAAGTATTTACTATCATAAAATAGTAACAAAATAAATTTAATTATTGTTTTAATCAAAGATAATATTATCACACATTTTGGTTAATTAATTTGCAATATTAACTAGAAATAAGAAAGAGGTATTCTAGTAATTGTCACATATATACGATGTCTATTCCAATTCTAGAAAATTTTAATAAACAACATCCATACATTTCTGATTCTAGTTCTAGAAAAGTTCTAATATAACAATAAATATATTTTTTTTTTAGCTATGCACATGGGTTGCTCTAACTTTGGTGTCCTTAAATTGGCCTTAATGTGTAGGTTTATAGAGATGGATGACTTCAAATTTATTAAAGATAAAATCAAATATTATAAAAATTTATAAAAAAAATCATAAATATAGTGAAAGGTAGAATTCTTCCCTATGAGTGATTACTATAGTGGTAACCCATCAAGTATTTAAAGTAAATTGTCAGGGTTAAAAGTATATTAAATTCTCATTTTCATATTTGTTGTATTTTTTTTCTATATATATATATATATATATATATATATATTTATACTTATTTATTTATTTTGATTATCATTGCCAAAATCCGTACATGAACTTGACTAGAAAATGTTAAACAAAATGCTATGCTTGTAATTATTTTCTAAAAGATGTTATAGTAATTACTTTTATAAAAATAGTGACTTAGAAATAATTCAAAATAAAAAAAAATGAAGCTACTCATTCAAGTTTTACTTTAGCGCTTTCTACTCTAAAATCTTATTTTTTTTTCCAAGTAAAACATCATGTAGAAATAGGGATTTAAACTCACGATTTTTTAGTACATATAAATTATCACTCAATTATGCTCATGTTTACAAAAGAAATTAGTAATGTAAGGAAAGGGTTATTTCCTTATCAATCCACTTTTTATAGTTGTTTTGATATGATAAACATTTAAATTTTATTATATAATATTCATAAGAATACAAAATATATATATATATACATACACACACGTATTAAATTGCATCCATCATTGAATAAATATGTGCATTAAAGAAATAAATATATAATTTATTTCACTGCATCATTTTATGAATGGGATCTTAGGGATTAATCTTGCCTGCATCGCCCTTAACAATCTTTTCTGCACCGCTAATGAGATCATTCTTCATATCGCTCCTAAGAATCTTTTCTTTACTATCTTTGACGTTATTTTCTGCATCACCTTTAACAATCTTTTCTGCACCACCAATGAGATCATTCTTGGTATCGCTCTTAAGAATCTTTGTTTTACTATCTTTGATTTTATTTTCTGCATCACCTTCAACAATCATTTCTGCGTCATCTATGATATCACTTCCTCCTCTGCAACGATCGATTGAAGTACAACCTCTTTTATATGGATTGGCAGAATGTAATTTACAAAGTTCAGGATGGGTAGGACTGCATCCAGGACTAACATCTCCTCTAAGAGGATCATAATGGATGAATCGTGTTGCATTTGTAATATCAATCATGCCCATACAATACAAGAGAATGCCAACAAAGATAAACATGCTTCCCTTGGAGATGGCCATGATTGATAACAAAAGCAAACACGAAAAGATAGCCAACAACTAAAATGGCTTGATGGAAAAAACTTCACATTATGGATATTTATACCTATTTGGCAATCTAATATTAGGGGGGGTTTCGTTAGATCCAACAAAAATAGACTTTGAATTGTAGATTAACCTTTTGCCACAACATGTCGACGAAAAAGGAAAAAAAATGACTTTTTCGCCTCTCTTATATGTCGACGATACATTTTGACATATTGTTAAAAATTTAAAACATTAGAGGTAAGTATTCAAAAATTGAAGGAAGAAAACTTGTGTATCGACCAACAAAGTAGAAATTACATGGTATATATTAGCTGACAAAAAACAAATAAAAGAAAAATAAAGGGTAAAACATACGATAATCAAGGAGAAATATAGGCTTAGAAAAAAAAGTTAATGAAAGATGCAAAAGGAGCTTACATTAATGAATTTCAACAAAATATAGAAAAGCTAAAAAAAAAAAAAAAATCCACATGAAAAACAATCTATAGTTGCAATATGGAGAAGTTTTGACCATTTCCTATTTGGGACTAAAAATATGGCTATCTACGTTCATTAGGCAAAGAAAGAAATTTTGGGCCAATATACAATTGTGTTGAGTTTTTATAATTTTGGTGTCTTTATTTATTAATTTTAGTACTAAATAAAATAGATGTGGAGGTGAGAATTCGAAACAGCCAGTAAGTTTTACTTCTTGAGCAAGGAGCTATAATTTAAATTGGCCCAAATCAATTTATATTGATGAGGTGGCTTCAAATTTATTATAATTAAAATATATAAAATTTTATAGAAAAAAAATTAAGAAATCATAAATATAGTATAAAATTAGAAATCTTCGATTTAATGACTAATTACTATAATTATAATCCATCAATATTGAAGTTGATAAGTAATTTTTAATCGATATAAACCTAGTACAGCTTTAAAAACACATCTAATTGCTTCATTTGAGATTAGAGATTAAAATTCTCATATTTATATTTTTTTTACTTAAAAAGAAAAACTTTTTTTTTTTTTTTGCAATTATATTCGATTTTTGATTATAAGTAAATCAATGCATAACATATAAAATAAAAAAAATTATATTGGCTATCATTGCCAAAACCGTACCCGACTAATAAATTTTAAACAAATGCTATGTTTGTCATTATTTTTTTAAAGATGTTATATTTTGTAAATTGTAATAATATCGTCTTACAAATAATTATATAAAAATAAAAGGATGCCATTCAATCAAGTTTTATTTGAGTGTTGTCCGTGGTTAGCGTTACCAGCTTTTTTCATATTAATATTTTGGCCATAGCGGCCATTATTTAATGATTTGGGACTTGTATTAAGGTGTGGGTGTAATTTGAGATTTTGAACTAGTGAAAAAGATGGTTGTAAGTTGTATCCTAAAACTGTAAAAGAATGAGTAGAAAATTTACTCTGGAACAAATGATTGATTTGATTCTCACCCAAAAAGAGTTGAAGCAATAATTGAGAGTATAGAGTAGTAACTTGCCAACCAGTATAAAAAATTAGGTTGTTGTTCCTTATCCTTTACGATCTTTTTTAATTTCAAAATTTAAATTTCATTAGATATTTTGTCACCCCTTATTGTTGTCCTATCAACCTTACATCTCATTCTAAAATCTTAAAATTTGTTGGATAGTATTTAGAGAAATTGAAATAATACAAATAAATCATTCTTATAAAAATTAATTGAAGATATTGTAATTAATTTTAAAATACATTAATATTTATTAATCAATTTTTTATTTAATCTTCTTGTGCTAATAATATATGTTCTCTGAGAATCAAATCTCATAAAATCTCACATTTTAGAGGGAAAAAACTAGGAGACAGTATTGTATGAAAGTTAGATGACTAAAACTAAAATTTCAGTGGTTGAAAAGGATTGAATGGAGTTGTATAAAATTTAACGAACAAATAAATAAATAATTTTGATTATTTTTTGCTTAGCAATGCACTTTTCAAACCCTTTGTCTCGAAAAGAATGGTCTCGATCTTCTTCTTTCTTAGCATTTGGAGTTGTTTTGATATCATAAGCATGTAAATTTTGTTATATAATATTCATCAAAATACAATATATATACGTATTAGATTGTATCCATCATTGAATAAATATGTGCATTAAAGAAATAAATATATAATTTATTTCACTGCATCATTTATGAATGAGACCCCTCGGGATTAGTCTTGCCCTGCATTGCCTTTAACAATCTTTTCTGTACCGCCAATGAGATCATTCTTCGTATTTTTCTGCATTGCCTTTAACAATCTTTTATGTACCGCCAATGAGATCATTCTTCGTATTTTCTGCATCGCCTTTGACAATCTTTTCTACACTGCCAATGAGATCATTCTTCGTATCGCTCTTAAGAATCTTTTCTTTACCATCTTTGATTTTATTTTCTGCATCACCTTTAACAATCATTTCTTCTC